GTCTGTTCTGCTGAGGACATTCCTCCATTTCTTCCTGTGACATGACTCAGCATTAACTGGCTACCTGTACCATCTCCACGCCTTCAACACTAACAAAATGTGAATCCTCCCTCTGGGTCTGCAGATACTGTCTGAGATTGTATAAAAATGTCAGGTTTCCCTTGTATTTCCATGCACATAATATTTTTAAAAAACTTTAATCTCAGGGAAGTTACATGAATCCTATTCCATACTCATTTAGCTTTATGTTACATTATTTCAGATGTTGAAATATGATTTATAATGGACATGCATCACTATGGCTGCCCCTCCCCCCATTTTGTCAATTTCCTACCTTTTCCGGGTCCTCTCAATGTAGGTCAATGTAGAAGGCCAAAGACTTGTACCCCAGACACTCTAGCAGGAGGGATACAGCTCTCTGATCTGGGTTCCCCATCAGACACACTCATGTAAGACGGCAGCTCCTGAGTGAGTCCCGAAAGCTGCCAGCCTTGCTGAGGACCCCTCTCTGGCAGCACCCGAGACACCAGGCAAAGGCGGCAGTGGTGCTCTTGCTGGAGAGCCTGTCTCTGGGCCCACAAGATTCTGGGTCCTCTTGTCCTTGAATAAACTCACTTTCGCTTACACCTGCCAGTGTGGATTCTCTGACTGCTACCAAAACTGTGTTCCCTATTTATAAGCACCTTCAATATTATTTTGCCATTAGAAACATGGTTATAAATGTACTTGTTTCTTAGGAAATTCTAACATCCTAAAAAGGCAGCATCAAAGCACAGATAACATATATAGCATTTCTTTGCTTTTGCACAGTGTCAACAAAGCATTTCAGAATGGCTCAAAGTTATCTTAGAGGCAGTCTAACTAAAATATATGTATTGATGATGTACTGAAGGGACAAATACATTGTGATAACTGGAAAGCACATGCAATTTTTTGAAAGTGACTTATCTTTTCTTCTTTTAAGAACCTAACCATGACTGATTATTATCTGTGATTTAAAGATATGTGCTTTTCAGAACAAAGCTTTATACTGGCTTTTGTGTGTTCTTTCGAGTTCTTCTGAGTTCTTCCTCCTTAAAACTGAGCGCAGTCTATCCTCTCTACACTTAATTCAGTGGTTTCCTCTGGAATCGAATCCCACTTCTGTCCCATGCTGTTTTGTCCTACTGACCTCGCCATCTAATGCAATCTGGTGTCATACCATCTTTGAGCCTGTGCTGAGATGTAATACTGAAAATAATAGAGCACGCCCAGCAGGGATGCTTTGAGGTGGGCGAGGATGGAGCCAGTGTCCAATACGTGGTATAGACGTTCCTTTTGTTCTGTCCTCCTGCCCAGCTTTGAGGGTCTCTACCCTAGTATGCTTCGGTGTTCCTCTGTGTGAGCTGGAATTCCGAGGGCAGTTCTGACCGCATGCATTTTTGCCTCTTACACATGGATCTGTGTGGGAACAGGATGAAAAACATCTCCTTCGTTGGGTGGCAGGGTGAGCCATAAAAAATACAGTAAATCGCATTCGTGGTGCTCCCTGCAGTGTACCAGCATTTTACATGGATCAGCACAGTAACTCCCACGATAATCTTCTGCATACTGAGATTATGGTCGTTTACAGGGGCGACCAGGGCTGCACAGGGTGGAATGATCTGCTCAGAGCCACACTGCTACGAGCGGCTGAGCTAGGGCTTGGGTCTGAGTCCATTCTCCAGCTCCTGAACCCTGTGCTTCTGCCCCTGTAGCTGTCTCAGGGAACAGACCAGGGAGGGAGCTGCTGGGTGGCCGGGGTGACCTTATGGAAGCCCTTCCAGCGAGCACTGCATAGTAGGCAGGGTATGCACAGGCAGAAGGAGAGAAAGGAGTTCTGAGCTGCAGGAACGGCCCACGAATGGTAAGGAGCTCAGGTGTGGTCTTGGCTAGGTATCGGCATGTCAACTGTGTGGCAGGAGACTGAGGGTAGAGGCGGACACAGATCGGGCTGGAAAACATTTGTCAGCACCAAATTTTGGAGGGTCCTGAATGCAAGCTTCCAGTGTGGGCTCACCTGACGGCTCCCCAGTAGGGACCCCGACCAGAGGTGGCAAGGCAGAGCCATACTCCAGGAAGGTTAAAGGCAGCTGTGTGTGGGAAGGAGGGATGGGATCCCCAGCAGCTCCGCGCTGTGTGTCCACACAGGCTCCTGCCTCTGCAGTCCTCTGCCAAGCCCACGAGAGGTGAGGACGCACAGCTCCAACACAGGAGAGAGTTGAAGAGGGCCGGGCCCAGGCAACACAGGGGTGCACCCAAGACGGTCTCTGAGCTCCATGCTGGCCCACCTGCTCCACCTTCCCTCAGAAGTTTAACTGGCAGCTGCAAAGAAACTGTGGTGGGATTTTCGGGAGTGAAAACAGCTCAGTGACACGCACTGTCGAGAGCCTGGTGGGCTGCCTGTGGCGCTCCGAAGCACCGAGGGCTTGGGGAAAGCGAGAGCAGGTCCTGTGTCGGGTTTGCCTTCCTGCTCCCTGGCCACCAGGCCCCATGCTCTTCCCATCACAATCTGTGTCCAGAGAAGCCTGGCCCTACCTCTCCTAGGGAGAGCTGTACTTTAAGCCTCAACTGCTAGGGCATGAAAGACTCACTGAAGCCATTTGAAGAACTATCGAGCAGGTAAGAAACTCTTTTTCTTTGTCAAGAAGCCGAAGCCCCAGGACCCTGGCTATGTTCTCTGTGAAATCCCACAAGTTAGCTGCCCCTTGGGCAGCTTGGACACTGACTAGGATGATGCCCAGCAGGCTACAAGGCTCTGGGAACCCACCTGGGGGTGAGAAGCACAAGCTGTAACACAGGAAAGGGATGGTCCCCGGTGATATGGGTGATGCATGCTGGGTAGCTTCTGAACCTGGTGGGGACAGCTGTGTGCTTGGCCACTGGCTGGGCTAATGCAGTGGGCTATGAGGCCAACGGCCATGTTTGCTGAGCCTCACAACAGCGGCCACAGACCATGATTCCCACAAAAGGTTGTGATCTTTGTGGCCAAGGTCTGCTTGCTTCATCCTTCTTCCCAGATCTAGAATTTCCAGACAGCACACTGACCTGACAGAACCAAGTATTTATTGGTGGCTGAATTTTCTGTCCGGTGCAGAGATGGCAACATAGTTGTCAACTGAGTGAGGCTGTCTGAGAAGTTCTGTATGTGTTACGATCTTGATTTCCTTTAGGAAACCACAGAGTTCAGAGACTTGGTCCTTAGCCATAGCAAAAATATCACGAGAGAAGTTTATGACAAAGTGTTCGTGAGAGACAGTCAAATTGTCAATTGTTTGGGACTTCAGTGAGTCAAATCAGCCCATATGCTTTCATCTTCTTTCTATTTTCATTTGGTGGAAGTTCTGGCCCAGAGACAGCAGCACTGTCACCTCTCCTGGTCCATGACCGTGGACGCTGACAGCTCCTCTTGCAGCCTATTTACCACATTTCCTAACTGGACGGGGCTTCAGCAATGCTTGGAAAGCTAAGCTTTCCTCAGGAGAGTCCAGTCTCGTTGCTACCGTCCTCAGAGTGGTCAAGCCAGTGACTCCCACTGGAAGGAGAAATGCTTTCAGACACAAAAAATGGCACAGCTCAGAAGATTCCTCCATGAACTTCCAGTACCTGCTTCTCAAATTATGAAAAATAAGACTCTGAAATAAAATTTCAGAGTTGCCTCCAGGATAGTGTGGAATTAGAGCAGAAATAGGATATTATTTTAGTACAATAACCAGGGTAGCAATGATACGTCTTGGGCGCGCCCGCCTCGCAAGTTGCTCTCGCCCACGGATGGCGACATGGAGATGACATTCCAGCTCAGCAGCTTGCTCATCACATGGAGGGTGGGCACTGGGGCTTATCTTGAGCATCTGTGCCATGACATTTGTTCTGCTATGCTCCATGACGGGGCCCCTGCACATCCTGAGAAGGGCTCGGGTGAGGTCCCATAGGTGGGGTTGTCCTTCTCTGACACTGCCCTGTGTCCTGTGATGGAATCCATAAGCAGGCAGAGCAGAGAAGAAGGTGGCATGTGTGCATGAGTGTGCTCATGTGTGCACGCACCTATGTGTGAGTGGACATGCAAGTATGTGCACTTGTGGGGGTGCAAGAGATGACCAACTGTTAGGTCAGAGAACATGGGTTCTGGGCTCACAGAGATCTTGCTCATATTCTGGGTCCCCATCATCTATGTGGCTCCTGTAGCTGGATCTCACACCTGGAGACCTCAGTTTGCTAATCTGTAAAATAAGCTAGTCACAGCTAGGAGGTTAACTGCCCAGGGTTGCGCCCAACTCTTGGCGAGTGGGCGTCTCTTAGAGGTCGGTTCTTCCTCCCTTCATTAGCTGTCCCCTGCTCACTCGTCCTTTCCCTGGCCCAGGTTGGGCGACAACCTCAGGAGCTTTAGGAGACTGGGGTGAGAAGGAGCAGAGGCTGGCTGTGCTTGCCCTGCCAGGGTGCGACAGAGATGAAGCCGGGGACTCATCACTCCTGGTGACCTGTCAGCAAATATTTTGGGAAAATGCGCTCTAGCTTCGAGGGTGCTCGTGCCTGTGCTCCTCGCCCTGCTTTCTACATGACTGAGACTGCTTGCTGTTCAGTCTGGACTTTACCCAGTGTACACGGTTTAAGTGTTCTTTCCTGTAAAGTATCAGCAAATGACCACATCATCAGCTAAACTGAGGAAACGCTCTTCATGGCTTAGTCAGTGCCTATCTGACTGCACAGGGCAGTGTCTAGAGTAGTCCATTTCAGCATGTTTCCGAGGACACCCTATTTAGCAGCTGGCACAGCGAAGCCAGGACCTAACAGTCACACCAGAACTACTGTGAAGACCAAACCTTCTCATGGTCACACACACTTGAACTAGAATGTCTCTGTTCTATCTCTTATGCAAAATCAAAACGAATTGCGCCTCTCCCCCCAGCGACAGACTCCTAGGATGCGGGCCGTGCTGCTAGTCAGCTGCTGCTCCCCTTGGCCTGAGGCCACAGTCCACGTACCTGCAGGGAGATTCGGCCAATGCCGCTGAGCAGCTGAGGCTCTTGTTCTGGGTAGTACTTGATGACAGAATGATATGCCTCCACGGCAAGCACATAATCCTGCGGGAGGAAAAACCCAAAGCACAATTAGAGCTAAGAAACCCCTCTTGGCCTTACCCGTGTAGAAGAGCACAAGCAGACACAGACACACATGTCAAGGGAGGGAGGGTCATAGACGTGTGGGTAGAAAAGCAGAGCACCAGCACTTGGCCCGAGGTTGGTGACCACTCTCTCAAGGTGAGGGCCATCAAGCTAGCAGAGCTGGGACCCTCAGTCCTGTGTGCCCTGAGAGGTCGACATTCTGCCAGTCCTTGAGGGATGTCGGGGGCTCTGTCATTTAGGTAGGCAATTCGAGTTTCATTCAGGCTGTATCTCTTTTTCTCCTGACAAAATTACTAAGTGACTTGGTGGATTTTGTCTTATTTCCACCCTCCAAACACAGCAGCCAAGCTTTTCAAGTGTCTCCTAGTTAAACACTTTCTATGCTAGTGACTGGGGCAAAATCTTTAAATGTAAACAACCCCAAAACAACTTTGCGGAGGCAGTGAGCGTGCACATCAAGGCTGTGTGTGCCCAGCAGAAGGCATGAGTGTCAGCTGCTCTCCAGTGTCCAAGAAATCCCTCCTGCTTCAAAGACAGTCACACGTGAACCCCCTCAGCTGCTGGGTCTGGCATCTACTCTCTGCAAAAGGCTTCTGCCTGAAATTCTCACTGAGTCTCTTGTGCCTGTGCAGCAGTGCCCTCTACTCTGCTTGTGGTGACCTGAACCGTGGCCCCTCCTCAAGGCCAAGGCCTGACAGCCACTGTCTCACTGTCCATCTGCCACTTGTGCCAGCATGTTGCGGGCACCGGGCTGATACTGGGTGGACTCAGTTACCTCTTCCAGGTATGAGGAAGTCGGTCTCAGAGAGAGAAGGCCTTGCCACAGTCACATGGATACAGCAGTGCTAGCCTTAAGCCCCAGCAAATCCAGAGTTCTCTCCAGAATGAGTGACCACTATATTTACGAGCAAGCTCTGTGCAGCGGACACTGTGCTGAACACTTCCCTGTGTTACTGCCCTAAGTTACAGGGACGTGGCCAGCAGTAACTATGGCCAGCAGTGGTGTCTTTCTCCTAGTGTATTCATTGTAAAATCCCAGAAGGTACTTTTATTTCTTTATTCTTTCCATCTCTTCTAAACTAGGACTGGAGTTACTAGTTTGCTAATTGGGATGTTATAAAGAAAGACAGACGAGTAAAACTCCAGCTTGGCAGGAAGAAAAGGGAGTGACTCTTTCCAGTCTCGTACCTTCAAGCACAGCTCATTAAAACTAATTTTATTCAAGGCCTGATGCTCACGAGGAGCCAGACAGCACATGCCTCGGTTTCCTTTCCCACGACTCCTTGCTGCCTGTCACTGCTGACTGTGGCTGGGTTTCTAGTTGCATGAGTGTGTGTGAGTGCATGGGGGAGGGACCTTGCACAGAGAGGGCTTTGTGTCCTGGTGCCTGGGCCCTCAGGATGCTGAGGTTGCAGCTGGGGACAGAAGGGGCAGCCTCATTGCAGCTACAGGCCTGCCCACCCTGGGGCTGGGCCTGCTTTGAAAAGTTTAGAGGGGCTGGGCACGGTGGCTCACACCTGGTGATCCCAGCACTTTGGGAGGCCAAGGCAGGAAGACTGTTTGAGCCCAGGAGTTCCAGACTAGCCTGGGCAACAAAGTGAGACCTCATCTTTACAAAAAAAACAAAGGAAAAATCGGCCATGTGTGGTAGTGCAAGCTTGTAATCCCAGTTACTTGGCAGGCTGAGGTGGGAGGATCACCTGAGCCCAGGGGTCAAGGCGGTGGTGAGCATGCCACGGCATTCCAGCCTGGGCAATGGAATGAGACCCCGAATTAAAAAGGAAAAAAAGTTTAGGGAAGTAGTCCTGCTTCTAGTAGCCCCCCCCATGCTCCTCTCTGGAGAGTTGTGGCACCAAGAATCCCTCATGCAGGAATGGTCTGGTTACACCCTACTTTTGGTTTCAAGTAAACAAAAGGCAGACTTTGGTTTTCTTGCTGTTAGCCCTATGGTGCCACTGGGTTATGCCGATGCCTCACTCGTGCTAATGATGTTCCGGACTAATATGGCCACCACAGAGACAGCTGACATGGGAGTGCGGCTGTGGGAGGGTGTGAAGTGGGAAGGTGTGAAGTGCTTGCTATTGGAGGGTGATGCTGTGGCCCATCACCGCCTTAACAACTCTGTTGCAGTACTCAGGGCCAGGGGTCAATGTCTCTGAAGATGATCTGATATGACAAAGGACAGGTTTTTTGTTTTAAATCAAACAACGATCCTTGATGGGAAGTTATTTTAAAACACTGCTCTTCTAGAAGAATATTTTTGGATAGCTACATAGGCTTGGGAACCATGTGAGAAAGCTGAATTCCAGAGGAGAGGGTCAAGCAGCAGAGAAGGGATTGTGTGAGGCCTGCGGCGCCAGCTGGACAGCCATGCCCGCGAGGTCAGCCACAGTCATGTGTGCTGGTTCCTCGGGTGATAGGCCGCCTGCCTGGGAGATGGCTGCAGACAGGGGAATGGATTCTGGCATTTTTCAAGGAGTCTATCATCAAACAACCCAGATGAGGATTTAGGACTGTTAGAGAGCTTCCTTAATTCGATCATTTAATGACATTGTTTATTAACTGAAGGTAGAAGAAACACAGCCCCTTTCAGGGAAGATGGCTAAAAGGAGCTCTTCAGACACAGCATAATATACTCCCAGATCATACAGATTTGGCTTTGAATAGGACATGAATGACTTGCTTTCAGGGACAAACCTATTTCAGCTCAATCTTCACTCCTTTCTTTCAGCAGCAACACTTGTTTAGTGACCATGAAACTAGATTTACAACCATTCTGCAAACCAGAAAGGACTTGTGCAGTGTAATTTAAGCCAGAAGGGTGGTAGTTTATGCAGCTGCATGCTCCTTTCACCAAATGCAAGAAGCTGGGAGGGAGGTAGACTCTTGGGCACCCAGGGAGGGCCAGGGCTGCCTGAGGCAGTCAGCACATGCATCCACATAGTCTGCCAGTGCAGGCACTTAAGGCTACTGTGAGGCCTCAGCAGAGGCAGTAACATTCAGAAAGTGAGGATGGTGAAATGTTCAAGGCTTCGTAAGACATACGACTGTGCATTGTAGTCTACCATGCAGATATTCAGGGCTGAAATATATGCACAGATTCCTCATCACTAAGAAGCTAAATGAATGTTTATTTTGCTGTAATAAAAATGTTATTCAAAATAATTAAATGGCTGATTAAATAACTCGGTTAGCCCATACAATTTAATTAACATGATACCCCCATATAGTAAAACCACACACTGTTGCAATATTGTGTATGGTCACTAGATGGCAACAAAATGCATATGTTTGAATTGGCCTTAATTGCAAAATTTTTCACTTAACTCATGAAAATGAAAGATTAAGCTAAACTTTCAAATTAAATTATATCTGTTGCAAAGTATTTTTGAAATACAATAACATATTCTGCATACTGAGCCCCAACAATGTAGGAAGAAGACTTACACTTGGTACCTGATGTTATTATTACTACAGCACAACAAATACTCCATAATTTTTTGTTGATATGTCTTAAAGACGCAAATAAAAACTCACCGGTGGAACAGGTAACTTTCCTCCCTGAGGAGTTTTATCCCATGATTAATGAAACATCAGTTCTGTGAATTTGTAATCTGTTCTTTATTTCTTTGCGTAAGAATGTTCTGGCAAGCCGGGCTCGGTGGCTCAGCCTGTAATCCCGCACCTTTTGGAGGCTGAGGTGAGTGGATTGCCTAAGCCTGTGGGTTCGAGACTCACCTGGGCAACTTGGCAAGACCTCATCTCTACAATAAATCAAAAAATTAGCTGGGCGTGGTCCGCGCCTGTAGTTCTGGCTACTTGGAAAACTGAGGCAGAAGGATTACCAGAGCCCAGCAGGTTGATGCTAGGGTGGCCGTGAGTGTACCACTGCACTTCAGCAACGGAGTGAGATTCCGACTCCAAAAAAACAACAAAAAAAAGAATGTCTGGCAAGCTGGTGACTTTCAGGTAAAGCTGACAGCAACCTCAAGAGACAGAGAAGGCCTGCCATGGGCCACCAGCACACTGGGAGAATGGCCTGTTCTGGCAGGTAGTGGGGACAGGGGCACAGTGTCTGGGGCCTACCTGGCTACTGCCAAAGCCTTGGGTGGTGAAGAGGCCATTTCTTTCCTGCCTGCACGGACTGCTCAGGGCAGGGGAAGTGGGAGGCCTGTTTGGTATTCTCACTCAGAGGTGGGCAAGTTCTACTAAAAAAAGTCAGAGAGAGAAGGAGGAGAAGGGAAGTTAGGGGACAGAAGGAGGGTGAGGTTTAGAGAAAATGTGACCGTGTAGGCAAATGGCCTTAGCGGGAACATCTTGGATGTGGCAATGGAAGGAAAAATCTGTTCTGGGCAAACACACAGAACTCCTTAAAAAACCATAATTTCCTTTATCTAGTAATAAAGAGCTGTGTGAATGTCAGAGCTGGGAGGGACTTCAGAGGTTTGGGTTCCCTGACCTCATCTTAAAGGAGGCAGCTGAGCCTTGCAGATGTGCAAGGCTGCATCAAGGTCACTTGCTACTGAGGATGACTGGGATGCCCTGGGTCTCCAGTGAGCGTCCAGCGTCGCACTCCTGCAGAAGCATGACAACAGAGACCCCTCCACGTGCACATCGGGGCACTGTAGCTGCTCCAAATTCCTGATTGAGTGCACGAGCTGCTGACGCTTATGAACTCACATGGGGAGACTCCCCCAAAACTCGGAATTATCTTTTGGAGAGCAGGCCCTTTGTAGTGCACTCAGAATCTGTTCTTCAAGATCAGTCAACCCAAGAGTCTATTTGGAAGTTTGAGATGGTTGCGTCACAACCTGTGGAAGAAACGTCCTGAGTTTTGGCAAACAGGTGATTGATTCTTCCACCAGGACAATGTACCTGCCCACACTGTGCTATGTTCAGCAGTTTTTGACCAAAAATGGCATGACCCCATGCCCCACCCTCCCTATTCACCTGATCTCACCCTGAGTGACTTTTGTTTCCTTGGATAAAAAAAGTTCCTCAGAGGGAAACCTTTTGCTGATGTGGAAGAAGTGAAAGAAAAACGGTAGAAGCACTAAAAGGCATCAAGATTAACAAGTTCGAAAACTGTTTTGAGCAGTGGAAAAAGCATCTGATAGGTGTACTGCATCAAATGGAGAGTACTTGGAAGTTGACTGTAGTTTAAACATGCAAGAATACACAATTTTTTTTTTTGAGTTGGAATCTCATTCTGTCACACTCATTACCACCACAGCCTCGACCTGTTGGGCTCAGGTAATCCTTCCACCTCAGCCTTCCAAGAAGTTGGAACTATAGGCATGTGCTAACATGCCTTGCTAATTTTTGGATTTTTTACCGAGATGAGGTTTCACCATGTTGCTGAGGCTGGTCTTAAACTCCTAGGCTCAGGCAATCCTCTCACCCCTGCCTCCCAAAGTGCTGGGATTACAGGCATGAGCCATGATGCTCAGCTCTCAATTTTTAATAAATTGCTTTTTTTCTGGGTCCCCTTGTATATTTGGGTCTAGCCCAACAGGGGTGGTGCCTGAGGACACCATTATCTCGAAGGCCACTCCAAGATCCATGTATAAAACAGGCTGGCACTTCATGGTTAATAACAGAACCTGTAAGCGCATTTATCTACCTGGCGAACTGCCTGCTCTGCCTTGCTGAAAATCAAGTCTGAAAATGACCTTGGGCCACTTGGAACCTGCAGGTGTGGGAGGAGTCAGGATTTCTGTCTTAGAAGAGCCCAGAAGGTATCAGGAGAGCTGCTCTGGGGCATCTGCTGCTTGCTGATTCTCATGCCAGCTTTTAGGGCCCACAGCTGGCTGCAGTGTCACCAGCTCCATGCAGGGTGCCCTGACAGCCAGGGTGGGAGGTGAGCCAGGTATTTCAGGGGTGTCTTCAAACAAAGAGGGAAGCCAAAACACACTGCTGCACAGGCTGGGGAGGGCCTGCAGAGAGCGAGAAAAGACTAGAAAAAACAAGACTGACAGCTTCTGTTCAGCTCCTTGATTTTTAAGCTGTTTCCTCAGGGGGTTGAGAGCTCTGGGGTGACGTCCTAAGAAGTAGGTCTTATGGGAAAAGCCTGTCTTCAGATGTTGTGAGCATCAATCACAAAATCAAATCGAGATATGAGAAAAACAACCTCCACAAGGACAGAGAGAACAAAGGACACTTTTTTTGGGATGAAATTTAGAGAAAAATGGGTATTTTAATTAAATCATTTAGACCCACATTTAAAGAATTAAATTTGATAATGTAAATTCTACATCTGTTGAGATTCCTTTCAGTAGAAATGAAAGTAAATTTGGCCCCAGAGTGTGTTACTGAACTCTGTTAAACAACCAGGACTTAAAAGGATTTTCTGCTGAGGGCCACCTGCTCGTGCCTCGTCGGGGACTTCAGCAATTCCCTTGCAGCTTCTACGGACGCCCCCTCCAACATGACATGGCTCCGCAGCACGGCCACCCACGTACCTTCATCAGGAGCAGACAGTTAGCCATGGAGTACATCACTCGGCCCAGACGCGCCCTCCACAGCCGGATGGAAGCTGCGAGACAAGAGCAGCTTGTGAGTGTGTCCAAGTGAATGGGTGGTTCCTTCCAGCCGTCAATTGTAGGGCACTGCAAGTTCTGATGTAAAAGATCCCTCTCGTTAATAGCCCCACGTTTTGGCCTGGAATGTTTAACGTGCTGCGAGCCACATTGTGAGACAGAAGATATAGCATCCATGTGGACTGGAGTTGGCTCTGAGAAGCGATGTCTGCATCAATGATGCCATGAGAACCAGGAGGGTGGCCGCTCAGCATCGGCCCAGACAAAAGGCCAGGAGATCCAACTGGGAGCCAAGTTTCCAGAGCTAGAGCCCCAAGACCATGAGCAAATCTGAGAAAAACCACGACCATCAGCTCGTAGTATGCCTGGGCCAGGAAGGCTGGCTGCCCTGGGTGGCTGAAGAGCCTCTTAGAGCTGACCTGTGGGAGGCTATCCAGCGGGTCCCCCTGTGTCCAGCACTCAGGCGGCACATTCCTTGGAAGGCGTCATACTCCCTCTGGCTGGCCTTGTACCCATAGCACCCACTGCCACCTGAGCCTGGGCCATCCCTCCCTGCTTTCTCTTGCATATCCCTGTTACCAGTCATCTTCCCATTGATTTCACATCTCCAAGACCCACCTTTTCCAGTGGTTTCACACTGGCTCTATGGACTTCTTGGCATCTGTAGGGGTACCCTAGGAGCTCCCTGGGGGGCGGAAGGGCTGACCAAGGCTCCTGTTTATCACTGGGGTGATCAGGAGGAAGGTCTGGGTTGAGGACTGAGCGGATCTTAAACTTGTGTGTTGCTGATAGATAGGCTGAGATCCAGAGTGTCAGGGGGATGTGTCCATCCCTTGTCCAGTACTCCTCGCTCTGTGCTCTGTCCACACCCTTCAAGAGAATCCACCCTCATGACTGAGAAGTGTGAAGACACTACCGTGAGCAATGCCAGCTGCTGGGAAAGCTTGTGGCCTCCTCACCAGCTTGGCCCTGGAAAGCTGCATATCCCAGCACACCTTGAGGTTGGGTTCAGGGGACCTTTGCGACCCCAAGGAATCCACGGACCCAGTCCACTAGGAGAGATGGGTCTTGAAGGTTTGAAATCAGCAGGAAGATGGCTGGTAACTAAGGGATACGCAGGGGAGAGCAGGGAGGATTGGGCCTGACATGAACTCTCCATCATGAGAGGGCAATCGCCCAGGAATTATGTGTATTGCTGGAGAGCTTAAGAAGAACACAAAAAACTTAACTGCTAGAATTAAAAACTTAAGTCACTTTGCTTTTCAGCAAGTAAAAATACATTAGCTGCTTTTGTTTCTTTTATAGCATTATTTTTGTGAAAAAAAGAAATTTTGAGCAATCTTTTCTTACTGAATGTAAAGTATGGATTGTCTCAACAAATTGCAGATTATTTTGATTATCATCACAGATTCCTTTCCAGTGCTAAATCTTCACCTACTCTCCTCATACATCTGTTTATCTGTGTGACTTTTTGTTAGAGTTCTAGGAACTGCTTTTTGGTCTCTAATAACTACGTGCTCATTCCCACTAAAACAGCAGCCCCAACAGGAATCAAATGAGTGGATGTCAAAAATGCTGGAGAATGGGATGTGTGCAAGTTATGGGGACTTCCCTCCTTCAGACCTTGTTTATTTACGTGTAAAAGTAATTGCCTGGAAAGAGAGTACACATGCTCACACACATGCGCCATACACACTATATATCCCCTACACCACGCTCACAGACCTCACACACCACCCCCCCACACTACACCACAAACACAACACCCACTCTATATGCCACATACACGCCACACACATATGCACGCATACCACATATGTATGCCATCACACACACACACACACACACACTACACACATCACACACCCACCACACACACATACCATTGACGAATCCCACCACACACATATCACACATACACCTCAAACCCAGAAATCATGTGGGATTTCTTAAACAAAGGACACATTAAGAATAAACAGGCCAGGTGCGGTGGCTCTAGTCTGTAATCCCAGCATTTTGGGAGGCCGAGGTGAGGGGATTGCCTGAGCTCATGGGTTTGAGACCAGCCCGGGCATCATGGCGAGACCTCCTTTCTACAATAAATCAAAAATTAGCTGGGCATGGTAGTGTGCGCCTGTAGTTCCAGTTACTTGGAAGGCTGAGGTGAAAGAGTTGCTGGAGCCCAGTAGGTTGATGCTGGGGTGGCTGTGAGCGTGCCACTGCACTCCAGCCTAGGAGATGGAGTAAGACTCCAACTCAAAAAATTCCTTTTCAAGAATAAACGGGGCCCAGGATGGGGACCTGGCAGGCCAGCACTTTCCCAGACACATCCCTCCTCACTCCCACTGCCATGAGCACGTCTGGACCTCACAGGCCTCACTGGCCTCACTCCCCAACTGTGTCCCTCCCCAGGTTCCTGCCTCTTTCCACCTTTGGCTCAAGTTCCTCCAGGGTTGGCTGCAGAGGGAATGCCCTGCTTGCCAGCAGTTCCCGTGAAGTCTTGCATGCATAAGGGTTGCAGAGACAGAGAAGACCATGTCTCTGGACTCACGAGCCCACAGGGGGTCAACTCCATGGGAAGAAGGAAATGACCATGCAACCAGGCCTGTGGGGAGATGCTGCCCCAAGGATAGGGAAGGGCTGCTTGAGTCAGGCTTCCTGGCCTGATGAGAAGCTCACTCCTCGCAAATGCACTCAATGCCCTGCGGCTGAAACAACGTTCTTGCTGTGCAAATCTTAGGTAGTCTCTCAGGTCTCATCTTTCACCTAGCTCCTTTTGAAGCACCTTCTTGAGCCTCTTCTCCAGGCTGCATGTTCCCCTGGGGGAGGCAGCCCCATGGGGAGGTCAGACTCCTTCATCCGCACCCTCTCAGACAACCACTTCAGCATGGAACATTCTGTGTTGAGTGCTTATGTGGTGAAGGCGTGTCTTCTACCCTCTCAGACCACCACCTCAGTGTGAATCATTCCATGTTGAATGCTTATGTGGTGAAGGCGCATCTTCTTCCCTGTCATTGGGGCTCAGTTCTAACTCATTGCACCCAGTGGCACCACCCACAGTGCTTGGTTCCCCAAAAAGGAATGAATGAAGAGTGCATGAATGGACGAACACACTATTGACTAAGAAAAGGAGAAGGGAATAAGGAAGAAAAAGGCTTTGGAGCAAATAACATCCAGTAAGCATGAGTTAGGCACAGCCTGGCCAGCTCACCTTGTCTGCCCTCCTGTGTCACGCTGCTCATACCGCCATCTTCAGCCAAGCCTTGCTCCAAATTCGTCAGGATCTGCAAATAGTTTCAAATGAGATGGACAAAATCATGGAAGCGAATGTGTCTTGATTTTGTCATACATTCTTGGTAGAGCAAATGTCTTGTATGAAAATAATTTTTCAAGAGATGTTCAAATTGGCACATGCTAAACATCACTGGATCTCTAGCACACAGGTGACAGTGAGTAGATGGCAGGATATGGGCTTATTTTTTTGAGTTGAAGTCTCATTCTGTCACTCAGGCTGGAGTGCAATGGCACAATCAGGATGATCATGCCTCATAGCAGCCTTGATCTCTTGGGCTCAGGTGATCCTTCCACCTCAGCATCCCAAGCAACTGAGATCACATGCATGTGCCACCACACTCGGCTAATGTTTTTTTTTTTTTGGGGGGGGGGAGACGAGTTCTCACTATGTTGCCCAGGCAGGTCTTGAACTCCTGTGCTCAAGCAATCTTCCCATCTCAGCTTCCCATAGTGTTGGGATTTCAGGCATGAGCCATTGTGCCTGGCTGAATTTGGGTTTATGATGCTCAGAAAGTATTTTCAGACATCATATGTAGAGAATGTTTTTCCTTTTCAAGAAAAGCATCAAGTAATGTGGCACATGAGAGTGATCACTAACATCTGTGAAAATGTCAGGCTGTTCCTCCAGGCATTGTGAGGTGCTGTGGCCTTTTTAATGTGCCAGATTACCTTTTGTGCAACTGTCATTTGCCATCGTTTTTACTATCTGGTCAGTAGCTTTTGGTGGCTTCTTTTGTGTTTTGGTTTTCCCTGAAGAAAGGGCTATTATTGCCACTGTAGTTTGGGATTATCTAAGAAAACTTAGATAATCTTGCTAGTGAACATTTCCCCAAAGACCCACCCAGGAGGGGAGGCGGACAGCCCTGTGATGAGGCTGCTTTGGATTTCCATTTGCTTGTCACCCTGGTCTTTCCAATGATGAGGACGACAGTGGCCTCTCCTCCCCTGTGAGAGCTATTATTTAATACAAGTTGGAGAGCAATTTGCTGTGAACACGTAGCGTTTTTCCTCTGAAGAGTTATCCTGTGCTACCTTGATGACGCAGAGGACACACTTGGGGTTAAACACTGTAACCCTGAAAAGAAGTTCGCTGTTTAAAACCAGGTCAAATGACGGGTGAATCTGTCTTCTGATGAATTATCATAAAAACAGAAACTGACAGGAAAGTCTTGGTGTTACCCTGAAATTAAATTCCCTCAGGCTAGAGCAGAGGGAGCACAGAAGAAAGAGCGACGAGAGACCCACTGCAGAGACAAAGTCAAGGACATGACCCTAACTTGGTGGCACCTGGCCTATGGAGCCCCCGCATCAGGAAGTGGACTCTGACCAAAGGGAAAGCCTCTGTGTCTAAGAGCAAAACCAACACAACGTGTTAGATGCAACTTCCACTGGGCTTGAGACATCCTTACGGCTGAGACTAGTGTAGACAGCTGAGGGCGGGTTCTGTGCTTGCTTTGTGTGCCTCAACACTGCACAAGGTCTCTACATACCGCTGAACGGAGAAGAGCACGCAGCAGGAAGGCTCCAGACCTTCAGTGAGTACCCAAGGCCTGGGAGAGAAGACCCACCCTACAGCCACGGCGGCCTCCATCTGATCTGCGAAGGCCCACACTCCCTACTGGCTGTTGTGGCTGATGTGGGGAGAAGGTAGAGTAGGATCCTTCAGTGGGACAGGAGAACAGAAAGGTATGGAAAATAAGTTAAAAGAATTTCCCACCCCACTGATGCTGAGATGCAGGCAGAAACAGAAGCTGTGTCTTCAGCAGAGGCATCAAATACAGAGCAAATGAAAAAGGGATTTCATCTGCTCACAGCTGATTTTCTGGTTCAGACCTATGACTTTGTCTTTCCTGGAAGTCCTTTCTATCTTTTGGATGCATCAGCCCAGCTGGGAGGGCACACAGGTAAGAGGTGGAGACACCAAGCAGGCTACAGACCTCCCCCTTCAAGGTGCACTCTGATGGCTGGGGCTGAGGGACACAAAGAATGGCGGTGATGTCTGCAGGGACCTAGGTCACCAAGGTACTTCAGTCCAGAAGAGGGACAGGTGGAGAAGGCATCCATCATAGACAGGAGCGTATGCAAGTTAGATGCAACTGTCCAATCTCCAATGACTATTTTTTAATTTATTTTTAGGATATATCATTTAATGATGTCAGTTAATAGGTCCCAGTCTGATTCAGAAGAGCATCCGTGAGTGAACTGAACAGAAACGGTAGTTCACAGTTGGTAGCTTTTATCGCTGTCTATCTAGAGACAGTTGTCTGGCTTTATAAAGTAACAGTACATTGATTTACAAAAGGTTATTTCTATAAAGGAAAGTGACAGACACACTCTCAACCCAGAGCTTGAATCATTTAGGAAATGCAGATATTGCAAGAAAAGCCTGACAGTGTATGTAGTTTGCAAATCTGGTGTGCTTGAAATTTCCTCCTTGGTTCCTTCTGCCCCGGATAAAAGGACAGATACCAATCAGTAGTCCTGTGTTTGTTTCCCAGAAGAACAAAGACACGATGTACTAGACCCAGCTCATTCTGGAAGAGGCTCTGAAAAGGAGAGGCATGTTTGCAAGCTTGGGGTGGCAGAATGGCACCACACAGGACCCAGGTACACAGATGGCTGCCATTTTTACTTTATTTGGTAAGAAGCCCCAAAGGCCAAGGTGTTTCTTTCAGCTCCAGAAAATTTAAATTAAAAGGATGCTATTACCCAAGTAAATGTGACAAAGGGACCACGCCCATCCGGGTTGAGCAGCTTTCCTTGCAGCTATGAAGATGTTCTGTGTTCTTCATTAGGACGGAAGCTGGGGGGGGGCACGCCTTTATAGAACCACGCCTCTTTCGTTCCTCAGCGTCTTCCCCACCTGGGTTCACTGACATGTGACACTGCTCAGTGATTGACACATGCATGCTCCTGGGAGGTGGGAGTGATCACAGCAAGCCCTGGGGTCACACCATGGGGTTCAGCGGGTAGCAGAGCCAGGAAGAGGTGACACTCTAGTCGGGTCATCTTCTCCTGAGACCCAGTGTGGCACTCCTTTCTCAGCATGCTGACAAACAGCCAAGGTGCTACAGTTAAGTGCACTGTAGAGGTGGGAATGGATGACTTCTATATTTATTTTGCAATAAAAATTGAAACATTAGAAAATCTGGGTTTTTTGTTTTTTTTTTGAGTTGGAGTCTCACTCTGTCACCCAGACTGGAGTGCAGTGGCCGCTCCCAGCCACCGCAGCCTCAACCTGCTGGGCTCTGGCGATCCTTCCGCCTCAGCCTTCCAAGTAGCTGGAACTACAGGTGCGCGCTACCATGCCCAGCTAATTTTTGATCTATTGTAGAGATGAGGTCTCGCCAAGTTGCCTAGGCGGGTCTCGAACCCGCGGGTTCAGGCAATCTGCTCACCTCAGCCTCCCAAAGGTGCGGGATTACAGGCTGAGCCACCAAGCCCAGCTCTGTTTTTGTTTTTTTTTTAAAGAAGGATTTATTGAGGACAGAAAAGCTCCCACAGTGGGAGGGGACCCGAAGGGGTTGATGGAAATATGTTTTTAAGATAAAATCTCGTGAGCAGGTTAATGATTTTTAATGCTCTAAGGAAGGCCTCAGGTAAGATTTTATTGGCTTGTAGTGGGAAGTCACTGAGATTAAGATGGGGTGACAGGGTCTGTAGGAAGAGTCTCAAGGTGCTGCGTTCAAGAGGTCTATGGATTCAGGCATGGAGGAGGAAGCTCTGTTAGAAGGTGACTCCAGTTGGGCATCTTGGGCGTTTCTTGTGATCACACACATGCTTGCACAGCAGCTTCTATGTGCTAGGCACTGGTCTCTACAAACATCAGCTCCTTCAATACTATTGCAATCTTAGGAGTAGGTCACATAGATGGGGAGACTGAGGCATGGGGAGCCAGCACTCACACCAGGCACATCTGTGGGGTGCGTCACTCCTCTTGCACCCTTGTTGCTGGAGGCAGCTGAGGGCCTTGGATGGTGATGTAGGAGACAGAGGATGGAGACAAAGGCACATCGTAAAGTGCTTTGTGAAGAGGCAGAGGCTGTGGCTGCATGGGGCAGAGAGGCAAAAAAGGCCACACCTTGGAGCCATCTTCCTGTGCATAGCTTGGGAGTGTCCCTGGCTGGTCTTAGACGAGTCTAGAGCTCGTGAAGCTGTTGGCAAGGCACCATCAGGGCAGGTCATGCTGTAAACTCTTAGAAACCATCTATTTTACAGAAGCATGCTACATGATGGTTTTAAGCACAAATGGTATTCTGTTTAAGTTCATAAAAATAAACTCGTGAAGGAGGCAGCATCATGTCCATTTCCAGAAGCCCTTCACGTTTTCTGTACACATGGCAAAGTGGTGCAGTGACAAGAACAGAGATGTCTGGCATCAGAACACATGAGTTCAAGCTCAGGCTGACTTTAAGTCTATCTTTTCCAACTCCTATTTCTTTAGCTTCCAATTCTTCACATGCCTATATTACAAATCATAGAACGCCAATGAGAATGCACTCTAAGTATTTTGTAAACTTTAAAAGTGCTGAGTGAAGATTAACTACAAGTAAGAGTAGAAGCAACTAGAAATTTAAAAATACCTCACTCTTTCAGCTCTTCACTGTGGTTTCTCTTCCACCCTCATCCTTGTAATAAACTGTAAAAGGCTTAGATATGTGTGATTGGGGAGCAATGAAATTAATGCTGCGCTGACTGTTAAATATTAAGTGGATCTTTGAAACTTCTGGGAGCTTCTGCATCACCGATGTGTGGGGTTGCCTTGGAGGAAGGCAAAGCTGTAACTGGTACAGAGCTATGGCTGGTGGGCAGCTTCAGGCACTAAAGGTTGGAAAGAAGGCCTCTTGGAGCCCACAAGCCTCGCCCCAGTGAGCCACATGCCCAAGCTGCAGCTGTCAGGGTAAGCTGGTGCCCACACACACTACCAGGAAAGGTCTGGGCTGGCGGGTAGGGCTCTTTTCCTGAAGGGTAATAGGGGCCTGTGTGTCAT